CTGAACACAACGACCCATCTGCCAATAGTCTAGGGCCTACACACTACTGCAATGGGCGCTCTATACAGAGTGAGCTGGCGCATTCAAACCTTATAAAAACCGTCGCACTCGTGTTGACGTATTCATCTTCGGAATATATTCATTTTCCGTTTAGTCGATAGCCCACATATCTTACTAGAATCTATCACACCAGATCGTTTAGGCGGCGCTTTGGGAGCAGGTGCGATACGTCACCGGTATTACCACTCTTAAAGTATATCCGCCAGACCCATGCATATGGACATATTATGATACCTGATCTGATATTTTCGTGGACGTGTACCACAGCCGTCGGCCATTTCCTCATTCTCTGGGGGTGGACTTAGAGGCTGTGTGAAGCATGTTCTATTGCCAATTGGCGTTCTACCCCACCATAAGTTCTACCGTTCTACCCCCTACCACCCCCCAGGTGGCGTGCGTGCGTGACCGATGATGACGTAAATGGTATTTTAACATCTCACAGAAGAGCTTTACGAATCGGATAGATGCGGGAATCCATTGTTGACGTAGGCTCAGTCGTTGCTAAACGCTATCTCGGTGCGGCGCGGCGTGACTACACAGATGCAATGCAGCGCGGAACAATTCCACCGACCCTCAACACACATAGTTCCTCGATAGTCGGTGATCGATAACAGAATCGCGGATTAATGACCAATCGTGACCGATTGATCCGTGAACCGCATGATAAGACCTGAAACGACGTACCCAACGCAAAATATGTATATCGGCATTACGAAACAATAGGCCACCGTAACAGTAAGTGTAAACACCGGGACATAACCAAGTCTTCTGCGGGAAGTTACTCTTGCGAAACAGAATGAATGGCGTTTTCTTCGTGTCGGCGCGCGGCTGCCTTCTGACGTCAACGAATAAGTCCACACGTCGGGATTATCCCGCCGGCATCCGAGAGGTATATTGCGCTGTAATATACAGGTACACTTCAACTCAGCACAACCTCCGACGCAGCACACGAAGACTGTCTTAAGCCGCCCACCTCAGACTTTGCTGAACACGTCAAAAGCTAGCGTTGATCTCACGCGAATCCAGTCATGAATAATCGAAGAATCAAGGGACGCGGAGAGGTTCGCCATAATGCCGGGGTGATGTTCTCCTTTGGCAGCGGTCTCCTTCATACTGCGTCAACCATCAGGTAATCACTGGCTATGCCACTTCGAGGGAGAAGGCTCGCCGTGGATCCACAAGTAAAGACATTAAGAACCAGAATGCCAGTTCAATGTACTATACGACAAGATAGCGATGTATTACAAGTTACAACCAGAGGTGATGGAGCGTATCAAACTCCCGGTAAGCACACGTTTTCTTTCCGTCATCGTCTTACGAGAACCTTCCGAAGCTTCAGTTACTCTGAAACCGACCACGACGCGACGCCGAGCATTCCTACTCCGTCTTACGCCATGGAAGAACGAAGAGAGTTCGGCTGCAGCAGACGACCCATGAGTAGGCCGTAAAGATACTGAGACTCCGAGCGATGATTACGACGTTTCGTCCTCCAACGACAGCTTTGTACTGCCTTCTACAGGTACGATGTCGCTGAGAGCTCGGACAGTCTGCGAACAAGAGGGAGAGTTTTCGTGCATGCGGCATTGCCGGCACGCTGGATAGACGCCGGGAGCCGTGTACAACTCAAAAGATCTCTTTTGGTCTAGCGACGAGCGTTGCTGGCCCGAGTAGTACTGCGAATTCCGCTCTGACGCCATTCGCTTATTTGAGGTCGGCAACAGCGCGCCAGCGATACACGTCCCATTTAGTGAGAGCAGGACTGCGCGGCCACAGCCAACACACGTCGAGTGGTTCCAGTAGAGGGCGGCGACGCTTCAGTCGGCACGGTCGCAGAGCATGTGAAAGCGAACGCCTTCGACTCGCAGCCGACACACATCGCATTCAGTGCCAGCATATCCACTGTCTTCGGCAAGCGACACACGTCTCTGGTCGACGGACAGCTGGTGGACGACGAGACGTACAGGATTACACATATGAAAGTGGCTGCAACGAGCGACACCGGGAAGAGACGGGCGATGGACTGTCTTCGGTCCTGGATATGAACAGCGGAACTAGTGAGGAAAGGGTAATATGTCCTGGATCAAGACAGTGATCTTATCTAAAAATCACTGGTCATTGTTACTTCGCTTTGATTCCAAACTGTGTACGAGCTGCATATTCAGGCTGTACTGTTCAGTAGAACTATCCTATAATATATATATTCAGGGTAAATAGCTAACGCGCTGTTGATTAGCCATTTGTAAGAGGAATGGGTGTGTACAGCATCGGCTATAGCTATCAATTTATATCAACTAGTTATAAGTATTTTTTTATATTGAATTTCTCAATTATTATATTTTAATCTAATTAACGGCCAACGATAATGGCGTGGTTGGTATAGTTAGAATGTGGGCTGTGAATCATGGCTGAAGTGCTCGGTGTGGATTCGCGATTCATGAGATCACTTTAATATCGTATTAACTGTTGTATTAAACATAAATTAAATTTATTTTTGTTGACGTGGTATTTTTAGTGACTGATTTATTTATGAAAGTTTCTTCCTGTACTCACCGTCTATCTACTGCGATGCACAAATCACGCAGTTGAACTCTCTTAGCAGGAGCACTTTCTTCAGATTCATCCCGACCTCTTGCTTTACTGAATTACTTTTAATTTGGACTAAATTTTAGAGAAAGAATTGAATTTGAAAGTCTTGCTAAGCCTTATACTTACGCGTAGCAGGTAACGATCCTTCGTTCTATCTGAAAAACTAAACGTCCACAATAATCTTACAAGCTAAAACGTAATTTCCGCCTAATTTTACTGTCAAATTTTATTACCACCTAGGAAGCATAGTATTAACACTGCCAGTGATATCTAGACGAGCCAACATTTTAATGATAAACCTGTTTTATGATGCAATGTCATATGCTAGATGCATCTAGGCAAGTTAGCATAACAGGTCAACTTCCTGTTTACTGTATGAGATGAGTGTGAGTGATGCGTTAAAATTATTTGAATAGCGCAGGTCAGTTCTATTGGACAGGGGTTACCGGCGTTTTCTGGTATTGTTTCTCGTGACTAATATTATTTATTATATCACAATACAAAGATGAAACACTATAGCAATAATTACATCACGAAACCAAAATGCGTTTCTTTCATAATTGGAAATTCACAGGAGACGTGTGAACAGTTCTGTTGTGTGTGTGTGTGTGTGTGTGGTGTGTGTGTGTGGGTGTGTGTGTGTGTGTGTGTGTGGTGTGTCCTGTCTCAGATCACTTGATGGCGGTGGTCAGTATCCGAATTATCTCTCATAAATATAAATAAGTATATAATATATATAACAGACTTGCGGAGTATGCTATATGATTTAGCACTAAAGTCATTGTATGCTTGAATGGCAGAGATGCCCAGACGTAACAGTATATCTGCTAATTAGACAACGCGACAATAGTGTTCGGCTTCTGACAAAACGCGGCCCACTCTACAACGTCGGCCGCAGATTGAAACCCAGCCTCGTGGACGCTTCTGGGGCGTGACATAGTCGCGCTTCACTTACGACTGTCTCTTCTCGCTGTCTGTCACCCCCTCTCTCTGATCTCTCTCTCTCTTGCCTGGCTGTCTGTCTGCTTTCTCTATCTCGCAGTGTCTCTCTATCTCTCTCCTCTCTCCTCTTCTTGCACAGCCCCCCCTCTCTCTCTCTCACTCTTGTGTGTGTGTGGGTCTCGTCTCTCTCACATCTATCTGCTTGTTATCGTATGTCTGTCGGTTTCCTCTGTCTCTTGTTCCTCTCTCTGTCTCTTCCCCTCTCTCTGGCTTGTTTCTTCTCCTCTCTGTTCTCTGTCTCTCTCTGGTTTCTTCCCTCGCTTCATGTATTCTCTTCTTCTTCTTCGACCGCCCCGACCAGGGCTGTCTGGTATGTCTGTCTCTCTCTCTCTCTCTTTTCTCTCTGTCTCTCTCTCTGTCTGCTCCTCTTCGTGTCTCTTCTGGTCTCTCGCTCTTTCTCTCTCTCTCTCTGTCTGTCTGTTTATGTCTGCTCTACTCCTCCTGCTGGTTCTCTCTGCTGACTGCTCTCGTCTGTCTCGCTGTCCGTCTCTGTGTCTTCCGGATCTTCCTCTGCTGTCTGTCTGTCTCTTTCTCTCGCTCTTTCTCTGACTCTGTCGGTCTCTCGCTTGTCTCGGTGGTCATATCGAGCTGCTCGTCGTCTCCAGTGTTCTGTCTTTCTCTCCTCTCGTCTCTCCCCTCTGGGTCCTCTCTCTCTCGCTGTCTGATCGCTATGTGTTCTCTTGTATCCTGGTGCTCATATCGAGGTCTCCCGCGTTACACGTTGCAGCATACAGATGCTCGAGATGCGAAGCAGAAAGTGACAGGAGAGAACGGGTTATTGGGGTTAGCATTGAGCTTGCAGCAAGGCGGCTATCTAGCACGTCCCTCATTTCTCTCCCATTATATACTGTTAATACAGTTCTTTGGTATTATAAATTATAGGTTGCGCTATTATACTCCTGTATTTTTATTACTATAGGTTAATAGTTATATCTATTAAGCTCTGGTGGCTGTGAGTTCTCTTCATAGGCTGGTAGAGTGCTACGATGTTCACCTCGGCACCTTTAACATATATGTGTTATATTAGAGAAAGGCACATGCTTCCCATGGATTAACATGTAATGAATGGATACATTAAAGAAAAAGGGTAGATATATGGAGTCATAAGGACTCTCTAGGGGCTTGCTAGCGCGGACATGAAATTACGCCTGGGTCTGAATGCATAGCTCGTAATTGGCGATCAGGCCTTAGACGGGAGTGGTGCAGGTGGGGGAAGAAGAACGCAGCATCTTCTTGTGGGGGTTCGATAAAAATCATTTTCAATTTGGCTGTTTCAATTAAGGAAGGCATGCTCCGTGGATAATGCGACCAACAAGCCTGGAGGTCGGAGTCAGA